AGCTGTCTCCAGCTATTATAATAATAATAATAAATATGTATGTGAGTCTAATTAGACATAAGATCTAGTTTGATGATAGTTAATCAATCCACTAGTTGTCTGACTACAACAAGGTAGCACAGATGGATAAAGCATTGGCCGTGTTAGCCAAGGGTCTTGGGTTCAAGTCTCAGTTCCAGATTTTCTTTTAACTTGCCAACTTTTTCATTTACAATAATTTTTGTTGGAATATTTATTGTAATACTTGCACAGTATATTCAGTGAAGATTAATTTCTTGTCTTCAAGTTTTATTCCTTTTGTTGCTCTGTGTTTTATTTATTCTCTAGGAAAACACTTCTTGAACCTGTTATGTATTATAAGTTCTAAAAACATAAACATTGTTTATCAGTGCACCTGAGCACTACATTTTATCACTAACAGTTAATATCTCTTATTCAACAACTCATTTTGATCGTCAGATGTTTCCATACTGGATACAAAGAAGTCATTTTGACTTCCAATACGGTTCTTCCCTCCACTCACAAGGTTAGCTATTCTCATCCAGTGCTGCCCTCTATATGCAAACTTTTCTTTACACATGCCACAAGCCTTCTGCTCCCCCCTATTGGAATTGAATGATTTCAACATGTCTCTCATTCAAATCATCATGCAAAACTTCACCACCAATAGAAGTGGGGTACACTCATGTGATGCACTTGACTCCCTATATATGCCTCTACCAATAGAAGTGGGGTACACTCATGTGATGCACTTGACTCCCTATATATGCCTCTACCAAACTATCACTTCTTGTTTGGCAGCTCTTGTGCTTGGATATGTTCCTTTTTGTTTGTTTAACGTTTACCGTCAATTTTATCACATTCACATTTATTTTCACTTCTAGTTTTTACTAAGACTATTTCATAACTTCAACTTCAATCCTAGTTTATTACAGTCACATTGTTATTTATTCTTTTGATTATTGGTTCACTCTTCCTCATTATGAATTCTGAAGTTCATGTTATCTCTTTGGGGGGTTACACCTGCAACTAACACTATGTTTCAGTCCTCAGGTGCGAGTGAACCGACAGGGGATTTATCCACGTTTAATCGCTGGGAGATTGAATGTTATATGGGTCAACCTCTGGCTTCAAACCTCATTCCACTTTCTCCAGAACAAGTTGAGCCTGTTTAGGCAGATGAGGACTTGGATTGCCCATTTACACCTCCTACATACCATCTTCTCTCTGAGGCTCTCCACTGAAATCCTGAGGGGTTTTTCTGGGGACTTCCTCTTCCTTCTTCTTCCATGTTGGCTTTTTTGTCTTCTTTGGCCCTGGCTTTACATGCATGGTTTCTCTGTTGTTGGAACCTTCTAGATTATGCTGTGACCTTAACTCACATCTGTTTACCATCATCTTAGTTTGGGGATTTACATATGGGCCCCGTTTTTGCAGCGATACATATTTAACATGATCTCTGAGTCTTTGCAATTACAGGTTGTGTCAGTACAACACCAGTCTATCCTTTGCAACCTTCTTGCCCGTTTATCTACGTCAGAACCCAATAGGGCATCTGTTACTGTTTCTCATCCCTCCCCTTCCCAAGATTTACCTATCCCTTCTTGTGTCTCGTCTCATCATTTTCTGAGACGACGCACATCATGTCACCAACAGTATCAGTGACTACCCAATGGGTTCTGAACTGGTGAGAGCTCAGCTTGCTGGATTTCTTTTTCATTGGTGTCCTTTCATCATGAGTTTTTAAGTTCCGAGGGGGACCAGTGACGTCATCGATAAACACTGGTCTCCTTCGGTTATGAACATATGTGATTCCTTCAGTGGACTCTTCATGATCAATGGAATCTTGCTCAGGATCCCCTGTCAGCTCCCATTACTCTTCTTCCTACCTGAAGGATGATCTGCATTATTTGGACAAGGCCCATACATCAGTGGATGTCCCGCTTCTTCCTCATCCTCAGGATTTACATCTTTTCACAGACGCATCCCTTCAGGGCTGGGGTGCATGGGTCAATCACTAGGGGGCTTCAGTTTGTTGGTATGTAGACAAAAGGTCCACGCATATCAACATCCTCAATTTTATTGCAGTCTGTCAGGCTTTAAATCACTTCCTTCTTCTCACCAGACAAAGTCTGGTGATGATTCCTCCTGACAGTGGTATGGTGGTAGCACATATCAATCTCCAAAGGGGCACCTGGTCCAGAGATCTCTGTTTTCAAACGTTGAATCTACTATATTGGGCCCACATGCACCACATTCATCTCTTTGCATGCCACGTTTCAGGTGTTTTCCATCTCGTACTGGATAGTTTTTCCCGCCTTGACATTATATATATATATATATATACGATGGAGTGGTCTTTTGATTCCCTCGTGGTTTCTCTCCTCCATATCGAGTCCTGTACACTCCTTATCGGCCAGCTCCACTGTGGTTTCACATGATTCGTTTGGCTTCTACTTTCTTGTCTTCTTCCTCCCGGAATTTGTTCCAGGTGTTTTCTCCTCAGTTTCGACACCTCACCTTTTCCTTCACCTCCCATCTTCTTCGGTTATTGGAGGAAATACTACAGTTGGGCATGTGGACTACACCTAATACATTTCTCTCCCATTATTTATACCATATTATTGTTTCTTCTTCTTCTTCGAGTTTTTGTCATACACCTGTGCCGTTCTTCACATTTTAGTGTGACTTGGACTGGGTAAGTTTATATTCATGCTTTTCCTTTCAGGGGCTCTTGCTTCATTTCCTTATTATATGAATCCCACTCTGTGGTGATTGGTGCCTGACCAGGTATTCTTTAAGTTGAAATCCACACTGTACAGCCATGTTGACTTGCACTTTATCTTTTATGGCTTCACAATGCTCACTGTTGAGATAGGGTGTTTCACAAGATCGCTTGTAGGTGAATAACACATAAACTTGCCCATTCGGGACTGTATCACCTATGGACTGCATGAGTAAAGCAGAAGGGGATGGTCTGCTTTTCAAAATAGGGTTTTGTGGTCACCCATTGCACTGTCTCAGGTGATGATGTTCCTCCAGACTCTCCACTGCATTCTCACCCCCCTTTTCTTCTAGTGGAGAATGGGAGTCCTTACCACTTTCCAGTTCCAAGCAGCTGGGGTGTTTGACCGTGGAGGCACCCTCCTGAATGGGTTCCACACAAAGATGGTTATAACCATTCAGTTCAGAGTAGGGGTGGTGGTGTTCTGCAGGTGTAGATGACGTGATATCCTCCAATATGCATTATACATTCACAAAGGACTGAGACATCAAAGTGCAATTCACTCCTTCGATTGGGAGCCCTCCTCCTACCCCAGTGTTGATGTCAGTACCCTGTGGCTGAGCTTTAGATTCAGAGTAAAACCAATCAACATAAGTCCTCACACATGTTTAGGGTGTCTATCTTCCTCCCTCGATCATACTCCTTCTGTGTTGTGGGTCACAGTGGAGATAAAGGGGGGATTGTTCCAGTTCTATCCTTTTTGCTATCCCTCATTGTATCTTAATCTGAGGGTGTTATTGCTTTTTGGATGGTTCTGGTCAGTTTAACTGTTGGGGGAGTTGATTTATATTATATAGACATCCTTTCGATACTGGATGTCTGGTACCCAGATTGATTGATTAAAGCTAATACACGTGTCATGCTCAGGATTTGGAGTGGTTTCAGATCCCCCTCTGGTCTCTTGAACTTGAGGTGAAGACTGTATGATCCTCATCCTACCCAGCAGCATGGGTTTTGGGTGTAGCTGACTTACTGAGTACGGTTCGTTGTGCCCTAGCCACTCCACACCTACGAGCGTGTCCATTGTTTTACCCACTTTTATACTTAGTGGGATTGAGTTGCATATATATTTATATGGTTAGGATCACTATTCTGCCACAGTTCTCTCCCACTTGGATATGCTCCTCTTTCTTTGCTCCTTATCTACTACACATTTCACAGATGGGTGAAGAGTATACCTGGTTCAGAAGTGTTGTGGTTCTTCTCATCAGATCTTCGAATCTGACTCTCTCATTTCCAGGGGTATCCTTTGGACAGTTTTGGAGGGGGGGTACTTCTGTAATTCCCTAACACTGGTCCCACCTCCTAATCAATGTGGGATTCTAATTAATCTTGTGAGAGGAGGGAAGTACCATATTGGAAGTTATAATTTTCCTGTACTTCCCTCCGTTCACACTCCCCCCCCCTTTCCTCTACACTTTCCTCCGGCACTTACGTCTTCTGCCAAACCTCGAAGTGAAAGTTCAGTAGAGGTGTATAGAGGGAGTCACATGTGTCACATATGTCATGCTTCTACTGGTGGGGAAAAGATGCATATTGATTTGCATGAGAGACATATTGGAATCATTCAATTCCAATAGGAAAAAGCAGAAGGCTTGTGTCATGCGTAAAGAAAAAATTGCATATAGAGGGCAGCACTGGATGAGAATAGCTATTTTTGTGAGTGGAGGGAAGTACCTATTGGAAATACATTTCCAGTATAAGAAAATTATAACTTTGTTTGTCATGGCTCAGCAACTATCTAATTTTCAATACTCACTGCTACTCTGAGCTTCCTAGCTTGATGGGTAGGTCTTGTTGTATGATGAAAGAATGTACAGATATTTTGATAGGGTAGTTCTGTTGAATAACATTTAAATTAAAGATATTCTAACAGCATCAGAAAAGATATATTGTTTAATCAGATTGGAATAATGTAATATTTTTTTATGTCTAGAAAAATATTGAAAAAGTAAAAATTCCTTTATTTTTTTCCAGCATTCCAATACTGAAAGTTCTGATAGTGGGACTTTGTTTAAATCTCTTTGTGACAAGCCTGCTGCCAGTGCTAGATGTATTTTATCTCCAGCTGTCCCAGTTACCAATGGAAAGTACACAAAAGAATGCCAAAATAAGGGAACAAAGGGAAACTTTGGTAAGCTCACCCAGAGAAATTTAGTTGAAAAAGACAAAACTAAAAACAAAAGGGTGAGAATAACAAAGCATAACATTCCAAACCCTGCTAGTAACTCTAAAACAGAATTATCAAAAAAAAATCTCAGAAAACTTTCTATTGATTGGAGTGAGATTGATGCATATAGTTTTGTGTTTGAAAAAATACCAAGAAAAACAAACTGCCACCAACATCCAAACTTTCCTAGTAGGTCAACAGTAAATGATGATTACCAGGATAACAGTGAATCTGTTTGTGTTGAACTTGTTGCCAATGGTTCAAACAACCCTTCCAAAGAAACTGTAGATAACTTACACAATGACCAAGAGTCTGTTTCCAGTGAAGTGGAAAACCAAAATCTAAACCTATCTTCAGAATCTGTAGCAACAACATTACCAGATATACTCAATTTTGGTATTCAACAAAAGAAGCAAAGATTGGCTAGTGAACAAGAACAAGAATCATCAAAATTAGATAATGTTGAACACTTTTCAGAAGTTGAAAAGAATGGTAATTCACAAAGCAGTCAGCATAATTGTCATTCTAATTCTTGCATGCTAGAGAATTTATCAAACATTAGCCAGTGCTCAAGTCCTGAAGTTGGTTGGGTTGCAACAGAGAGAAAGTCTTCATATTTGATTTCATCTCAGAAGACAAGTACTCCAAACACTAGAGTTAAATACCCGTGGGAAAAACGACTACTTAAACCCTCAAAGTTATTGCAAAGACAGACAGAGCTCTCAGAAAGTTTTAATGGTGCTCTACATAATAAGAGTGTAAATGATTTACATGAAACTCAGAGTGACTTGAAAACTGTAAAGGATACACTGGATAAACTTCTACATTCAACAAGATCATCAGTATTTAATATGAGATTAACACCTCATCATCCTAGTAAAATTGGAAATTCCTCCAAACAAGAAAAACAAAAAGATTATTTTCAACAATCAAATGATGCCTCTTTTAGCCAGTTTTCAGCAGACTTGTTTCAGAGTCGTGAAAAGCCAAAGAATAAGACTCGGCAGCAAATACCCAATGCACTTAACCTACAGACATCTGCTTTAGTTAACAGGGAAGCTACAGAAGATGTGACAGCAAAACAATGTATTGAAGAAAACCCAGATAATAACAAAAAATCTGTGTCTGTTGATATGTTCCTTGAAGTTTCAAGTGCTTTAGACTCTCCTGTCTCTTCTTCATTCTATGAATTTTGTCCAAGTGCTGTTAAGGAAGTTCATCTGAAGTTACAAGCTGAGGAGCTTTGCAGATCATTGCGTGTATGTATTTAAAACATAAAACTTGGTTGTTGTCCTTTTGTTACTTAAAATGTTTATGTAGTGTATAACACATTGTGTTTTTACTTAAATACTTTCAATTGATGATGGAACTCTGGCATTAAATGTACATTATGCAGTATTATACATATGAATTTTATTAATTATTTTATAACAGTTCTAAAACATTGTAAGTAATAATTTTTATTTCTTGCATCCAAATCATAATTTTCTGAGTGAAAAATGAAGTTGGCTTCTCATCTGTATAGATAATATTTAAAGATACAAAAAATGATGTAAATATAGTTATTTAATTATTTATGGCAGGAAAATCATCAAATAATTTTTATGCCAAAATATTCATACTTTAAGCTTGTTTATAAATTGCAAATTTCAAAAGCCATATACATGATTCAGAGTTCTTTGAGCTTTGAATGTTGACTATGTGTAAGTTTTTAATCAACTTAGAACAAAGAATGACTTTGAATTGCATGCTTTTAATCCAGTTAGAATAAAGAATGACTTTGTATTGCATACTTTTAATCCAGTTAGAATAAAGTATGACTTTGTATTGCATACTTTTAATCCAGCTAGAACAAAGAATGACTTTGTATTGCATACTTTTAGTCCAGCTAGAACAAAGAATGACTTTGTATTGCATACTTTTAATCCAGCTAGAACAAAGAATGACTTTGTAATGCATGCTTTTAATTCAGTTAGGAGAAAAAATGACTTTGTATTGTAAGATTTATTCAAGCTAGGATAAATAATGACTATCCTGTAATATTTATTCAAGCTAAGGTGAAAAATGACTTTGTATTGAAACCTTTTAGTCATGCTAGGATAAAGAATAACTTTGTTTTGTAAGCTTTTCATCAAGCTAGGATGAAGGACGACTGTACTGCAAGGTTATAGTGAAATTAGGATAATGTATAACTTTGTATTGTAAGCTTTTCATCAAACCTGGATAAAGAAAGACTTTCTATTCTAACATTTTAATCAAACTGAGATAATGAATCTTATATATATATTGCAAACCATGGTGTCTGTCTGATCATTTGTCTGTCTCCTGTTTGTGGAGGCCACTTCCTGTGTTGCCGGCAAAGCTCAACATTCACTTTTGAAGTTTGAAATGATGGAGAATATACATGATTAATGTTAATGCCAAATTTTATTTCGCAAGCAGGAATATTCTAAATTGAATTGTTTGTAATTAATCACACTATCATTTGCATTTCCAAATGTGATGTAAGTTAAAGAATAAAAATGTAGAAGGAAATGTTTTTGTGAAGCCATGGGGTAAATCCGCTTGTCACATCAAATGGCTATAAATGTATCTGATTGATACATTGTAAGAGTTAAGTAACAAATTTTCCGTAGTACTGTTGGATTTGACTACCAAGCTTAAAAGATTTAATTTGTAGATAACAAAATTACTTGTTTAGTTTTAAGACTTAAAGTATTCTTATGTCTTGAAATATTGCAAGAAGGATGTATTGATTTGTTTGATAATTGGTAGTAAAATGTCAGGAGCTGTTCAAAATCTAATCTAAATTCAGACTTAGAGAAATTTTAACCCCTGTATGGGGAGCATACAGGTTTTTTTTGGGGGGGAGCTCTCAGGATGAAATCAGAGATGTATATGAAAAAATAGCATGGAACAGATGAAGTATCGTTCAAAATAACTACCTACATTTTCATACTTGGATCCCCTTAATAGTGGATGAAGGGGATTTGGAAGCTTTCACAATTAGCTGCCCATATTTACTTGAAAACTGACAAAAGTATATATATATGGTCACTCAAAACAAGGCATGCAAAATTTTTGGCATAGCTGTTTCATATAAATTTTCACAGGTAATTGACTAGCTTGAAAGTATTTCATATGAAGTGAAGAAAATATCTTCTTCCCTATCTATAAAACATATATGCTGTTCTCTTCCCTTGCCTCAGTCTCTAAAATGTATGTTTTATTTTAGATACAAGAAATACTTTCTTGCCTAACTAATTTTATAAAATATATATATATACTATGTTTAGATACATGTGAATTTTGTTGTATTTTTGTAACTTTATTTTAATTTTATGTAACTTATTTTTGCTGTAATATATTTTTATGTTTGTGAATGGTGTACTTTTAGTAAGTGAATAAAAGTCACTGATAAAAATACCCATCCTCTTTTAATGGGGATTGGTCATTGTCATGTGCTACCTCCTACAGGGAAAAAATTATTGATGAGATTTAGTATTCACCAAAATTGGTCTAACTCAGAGGAGTGGGGCAAAAACAGGTAAGTTAGTTTTCTTTGCATATTTTCTCTCTTTCCAATAGATGTTAACTAAAACTCTATCACTTTTGTATATGTGTAGTAAAATGAAATTATAAATTTATGAGTAATCATCCTTTTCTTGTAAGTGAATATCAAGTAAAAACAAAATTACTAATCTAAAAATAACCTATATGCTTGTTTTTCTCTTGCTGGTAGGTAGTTCTAACACCCCTGCAGGCATCTTATCGTGGAAGGATATCTCTGATCACTCCAGTACATAAAGTATTAGCACTTTGTGGTCAAAATGAGCCAATCTCTTTTTCTGTAGCTTTTCCACAAAGGTTAGGATTTACTTTCATATTTTTATTTTTTTTAAATTCATTACTAAAATTACCAAAATATGTTATTTCAGTTTTGGAAATATAGCATTTTTAATTGTCCAATTAGTTTAGCCATATTGTTGTCTTTTTGTTATGGTCAAAAAACTGTTGAGAGAGAGAATTCAATCAAAGTAAAAAAAAATGTTTGCTAAGAATACGACTACTTGGAAACGTCTAAAACTATTAAAAATGTTTAAAATCATCATAAGAAAAAAATTTGTCAACATTTCTTCCAAATTATATTTATGAAGATCAGTGAAGGTTATTTAACCACAAAGTTTGTATTTTCAGATTTACTATGGGACAGCTGTATCAATTTATTTGTGTTTGAAGAAGAAATCAGTAGTAAAGGTGAACTTACTTCTAGGGAAAACTTGTTTTTTGCTGCAAATATTGCGGTTTTGATTTCTTCTATATCATTCTCTGACTTTACATCTTGTTAGACTTCCATGTAGTCTATGGTTCAGCTACCTTTCATTATTGATGATAGCTTGGAATCAGTAAGATATTGACTCCACAAGATGTCAAAATGATTTTAGTCTTTTGTTCTAGAGAATAGGCTGTAATTGTTTCATAGCTGTTGGTAGAGGATTACAGTAGTCACTGCGATGTTCAAGTTCATACCAAAAATACTCAACCAGATTATGATCTGGTGATTCTGCTGGTTGAAGAAGATGAGTGAAGTCAGTGTCATGTTTTTTTGGACTGTCTTGTAGTAGAACTGGGCAATTAGTAGAATTTGCTAATAGATTAATTGTCAATCTCATTAATTGATTATTCTCATGAGACATGGATAGTTTTAATAATCTAAAATGGTACTAAGTGGAAACAATTTTGATTAGTTGATTATTAATTGAAAATGCTGTTTTTATTGTTGGCAGACAATCTCTTTAGATTGCCAGTATTAATAAACTTTGATAACAGAATGTCCTTGAACAGGTGATCAATGAAACAGTCTTTGACAATAACACTTCTGCTAAATGAGTTTCCATAATTCTGTTTTTCTGCAATTGGACAGATTTCTTACCCTTTTTTTTTTAGAGTCTAACCATGATTTGACTACCACTACATTTATAAAGTTTGTGCAGCCACGTAACATATCACATGATTCGTCTAATTTGTATATACAACAAAAGATGGTTGCTCTATAAATTATGTGGGGGTGAGGCCTATAAAGTGGCTAGTTAGCGTAGTTTGGTAGGCTAAGCTTGTGTATTATGTAGAGATGGGTGATTTAATCGATTAATCAATATATTTAATTACCTCACAGTGATTACATCAATTAATGCCTTGAAAACTAATCAATGTCATGAAAATAATCAACTAATTAAAATTATTGTTCTGATTATTACTGCTTTTGATTATTTAAATGGTTGATTAATCAAAATTATAATTAAATTAATTGTCATAAAAATATGCAACTAATCAGAATTAGAATTTCCAATTATTTACTCTTTTTGTTATTCCAACTATCCAAGTAATTAAAATGCTGCCATTATGTTTTTGTTGTTGTTTAAGCATAAAGCTACATAACAAGGGGGGGGGGGTCTCATGATTTGATGGTCTAGAGTCTGATACCTATGTCCTCTAAACTAGCTCATATTGTCTTTGTTATTGTATAGCTGCTAAGTATATTTGTCACTTGCTAAATTTGAACTGCCAACTAGAGGGAAGGCAACTGACTGGCTACTTAAGTGTTAGATAAAGTGTAAATTTACTGTTTCTTTACCTTATGTTTCTAATTTATAATGTGTAACTGTATTCTTTAATGTTGTATAAGTAATTGTAGATCTAGGGAAATTAATAATAGCCTTATTTAATGTTGTATATGTAGGCATAAATTGGGGGAGGTCTGAAACCCCTCCCTCTGTTTCAGAAATTAATACAAAAACAGCCAGACATTTTTAAACTGCAATATATTATCAAAAAAAGACATTAGATATCGGTGCTTTTGCTTAATTGGGCTATTATTATCATAAAAGCATTTTTGAGGTTTTCTGAAATCAACATAACTGGAGTCTACAACAATCCAATTAAGGCCTTAGCTAATAATTGATTATTTTGAAGCTAATACAACAGTATGAATATCAATTAAGCATTACTTTGGTAACTTTTTGTGCCTTACCTTTTTTAGACAATGTGTCTATTTGCTTTCATCAAAGTTAGTATTACTTAGGATGCCTCTAGCTCTAATAGTATAGAATTGTTACAGAATCAAGTTTTCATCATTTAGAAGTTAGAATTCTCTTGGAAAAGATGTTTTTCACATTTTTTATATCTAATTAAGTAAAAATGCAAGTGGTATGAGTATATAAGTAATGACTCTTAAAAATTTTGTAAATGGGCATACTGTTTACTAGTACTTTATATTTTCCAAATATTATTATAAATAATTATGAGTATTTGATTTTAATAAAAACAATTGAAATATTTGTTTTTAACATTGTTTACTTTCATATCAATCACATTACTAGAAATAAATATATAAGCTCTGAAATTGCTGGACTGAAAACCCAACTGAGAATATGTAACTGATTTATTTAGGATACCTTAGGACTATAAGGTCATTATTGATTAATCCAAAATACTACATTATTATAGAGGATCTTTTCTTACATCTAAAAAACATTGAACATTAGATTATGGCTATTTTTAAAATGGTAACAGGTATTTTACCATCATTGTAAAAATGAAATATTACTGCAGCTATTGTGGAGAAGTTAAATGTTGTTACTTTTTAAGACAATAATAATATATTGTCTTAGTAGATTTCCTAGTTTTCTTCTTATCTGTTCCATGTGGTTTTAAAATTATGGTTTTAAAGTTATAACTACCAAAAGTTTTATTTTACAAAATAAATTAATATTATTCTAATTTTTCATTGTTTGGCATTAAATTTATTAATTTATAAATATTAAAAAAATACTTGGTTTTTACTTTGGCAAAGTACTCCCTTGGTTGGTTACAAAGCAGTGGT